GGGCATTATTACCATGCGTGTTTTTGACTGTGAATGTGTGCTTTTCTGTTGATCTGTGGGAAGTTATTGTTTGTGTGGGATTATGATGTGATGTGATTGTGCGCATCTTGAGCGCCGAACTTGGTTCTTTATCATCAGATCTCTCTCTATATATAAAAGATTGTACCAGCACTATTCTTCTCGCATGGAAGCAGGTGTCCTTATATCAGTATTAAAATTAAACGAAGAGGGGTAAAGTACGTCTACAGTTTATAGGCTTGTAATAAGTAGGCAATACTATTCGATGTGTATAAATTTGTTCTTGGCGCCACCTTATCTGGAGTGACGCCACGCCCCTGCTCACACACCAAACAGTCGGCGATGAAACCAACCTCGTGTCGCCTTGTGACTGTGACGTCGGCAAAGCCTGTCCCCGTGGTTTTATGCACCTCGCATAATTTAGCATAATTTGATCATTTTTTGCATAACTTCTGATTATTTTCCTTTATCATTCTTTGTTAAAATTAACAGAATCGCATAATTTCACATTTTTGGGCTCCGTTTGTATAATTTCAGAATTTTATTTTGCATAGAACAACGGGGACAGCAAAGCGGGGGACAAAGCCTGAGGAAGAATTGCAATACCTTGGAAGTAGAGAATCTTTGGTAATACTAATACTAGGCCTACTACTAGATCTAGAACTAAGCCTAGATATAATACAAACAGCCAGACATACCATGTAGTGTAATCTATGTCATAAGTACTACCAGATCTAGATCTAGAATCTAGAACGACATCAAGAAAGATCAACAGACCTGTCGATCTAAATGATAAATTCGCCTGAAACAAACAGTGTTTTGCTCTAGATCTAGATTCTCCCACCATACTAATTAATTTAACAAGATCAAGATCTAAATCTAGTAATGTATCAGAAGGATCTAGATGTGTCTGATGATGGCTTTTTTACCTCGATCCAAAGGTCAAAGGTTGTTTCTTTGCAGTCCTCCCAGTCCCAGTGCACAAAGCAGCTCGAGGCCCCTAACAACTTCCTACATGTATCATTAATTTTGCTGTCGCTGTAGATATTGTTGTTGTTGTTGCTTTTGTAGATGTTGTTGTTGATGATGATGATAATGCCGTTGTGGTGGTCATGTTGCTGCTGTTAATGGCAGTAGTAGCGGTGACTTCGGTATTTTAGCTCAATTATGGTGATGATGAGGATAATAATGATGATGATGATGATGCCAGCATCTAAGGTGCATAGGTTTGGCAATGTGTCTCCGGTGGTGTGTGACTGGTCCATGGCGAGGAAGTTGAAGGTCGATTACGTACACACAGTACATATAGTGTCTGTGTGTGTGTGTGTGTGTGTGTGTCTGTGTGTGTGTGTATGTGTGTGTGTGTGTGTGTGTATGTGTGTGTGTGTCTGTGT